GAATGTTGAAGCTTTCCACTGCTGCTGCTCATAGAGCTGTTCACTTGAAAAGTTGGAGAATCGATTGTTGCTGCGGTTCTGAACACGTCGATCGTCAACATCACTTACGTTGATGAGTCCTAAATGCCGCTGCCACAGAGCGCAGGCCACCTTATTATTCAAATTCTACTAATATTAGCATGTGTCCAAATTGCACCAAATTTGACATCATACTTTTTTGGCCCTTGTAAAACACATGCCAAAACACAAGTGTGAAGCCATCAAGATGAATGATTCTTGAGATAAGTGTTTAACATACATACAGATATGTGGCTATAATAAGTAGATTGAACGTTTTAGGGCCTTCAATAAGAGTTGAACATTTCCACTGAAGCATATGGGAATAGAGTGCATTAGACAGGGAAAAATGTTGCTTGAAAGCACCATTGAATGCAGTAAGTGCAAGTGTTCAACTCAAATCTAGCGCATTCAAGAGCTTTTCCCCTCCTTTTCTATTCTTAAGCGTAGGATAACTCACAATTCCTTCCACATCAGTGCTCTTACTCACCCAGGCTGCAGGCAGGGTTGTGTTGCATAAGTGTACTATGAATCCTGTGTGTTGCTGTTTACACGCCCTGCCACACACACCGCCTGAGAGTTGAAAGGCTTATCTGCGAATCGCAGCCCTCTGCCGGCCGAAAACCTGCACCGATTGGATCGCACGCGGAAGTCGGCAGACGAGGCAACATGGCAACTGAGTCAAATAGGCCTCACATGGCCACAGTGACATCAGCAGCTGTTGAGTTTAGATGTTCTCACTGATGCACACATAAACATTGTGCTTAAGTGGTTCATGAGTCTAAAAATAGTGATGTGCCTGTATTCGAGGCACATTACACTGCAGTGTGATGTGTTAGCAAGGAATGGAAAAAAAATAAGACTCAATCACTGCACAAACAATTCCTGTAATCCTGCTGGAGTCGAGGAGCCGTGCAGTTTGAGCTGCGTTCTAATTAAAGCGCTAATAAAAAGCTTTCTGCAGCAGAATGAATATTTAATCAGCTGGGGAGCAACGGAGGGAAACTGCCATGAAACACAGAGGACAAATTAAACAGAAATTCATTAATTTAGCATATCAGAAGATCAAGTTGTGTTTTGAATATTGTCCCCAGCATGTGTTAACTCTGCACAGCAGCAGAGGGCTAATTAAGTGTGTGGGGATTTTATTATTAAAGGCTCTACACATCATTTCAGTTATTGTTTAACATAATGTCTCCTGCTGCTTTAGAACATGCATACTCATATTGTTTTAGATCTACATAAACCAGCCCTCATTTCTACAGACTCTTCTCATATTCACTCTGATCATTTACGTTCACTTTTTTCTTTTTTGAAATATATCTTTTACCGAACAATACTGTGTCGATCATTTCATAAATAACTTTAAAACTCCTTTTAAAAGTTTTTCGTTTGCCAGTTAAGAAAGCTTTCATGCATAGTATTCTAATGGAAGATCCTGCCACAGACCATGTTTTAGCATATCAGACCTTATGCAGGGTTTGTTCAATGGCTGCAGGAGCCTGCCTTTTTTTTTTTTTTCTCCTTTTGTAGCATTGCATGTGAAGAAGCACATCTCCAGTGTGATGTAGGGGGGGAATGTAAATAGCCCCAGAGGGGTGCAGACCTCTGACTGGCCCTCTGTGTCAGACTGTTGTTGCTGTCAGTCTCATGATGACCGCAGCAGTGTGGCTCACCTCCGAATGGAGAAGGCAGAGTTCAGTATCAGCCAGTTCCTGTAGTGTAGTGGTTATCACGTTCGCCTCACACGCGAAAGGTCCTCAGTTCGAAACTGGGCAGGAACAGTATTTATGATCTTTCATATATATAGCCCCTTAAAGGTCCAGTAAGATATGGTTGAAAGGGATCAATTGGTAAAAGTTCAATACAAAATAATCCTAGTGATGTTCTCATGAGTGTGAAATCAACTTCATTGTACGGAGGGTGATGAGAGGGGTATTCAGCTGCAACATGCAACATTACCACTAGATGTCACTAAATTCTATATACTGAAGCTTTAAATTTAATAAAGTTGCAACAAATTTCACAAACTCACAGATATCAGTTCCCTTAATATGACAGATTCATCAAAATCCATGAAAAACACCGTATCTCACAATATTACAGAAAGTGATTAAAAAAATGAATCTGGATCCTTCTCCTGATCCAGAGGGTGCCAATATTTGATGCATTCTCCTCTGAATCGTCCCACATCTTTCCACCAAGGTTTGTGGAAATCCTTCTTGCAGTCATTGTGTAATCTTGCTGACAAACAAACCAAAGAGTAGGGTTACCAACTTTAAGTGATTGTTCCTCTGTAAGTTCCTCTTGCTGTATTTGCGGTTTACCTGCATTGTCTGTATCAAAGAAAGAGCATGAGGAAGTGAAACAGCCTCTTATATTAGTCTGTGGAGCAGCCAGGGCAGCTGTCTGCTTCTGAAGTTGAAACTCTCAGTGAAGATATTTGTGCCTGTGCTCGACTGACAGAAAGTCCAATCAGAGGCTGGAACAGATACTGAAGTCAACCGTCTATTTCTTTAGGGGATACAAGCGGCTGCCACATGCCGCCTGTCGCACTTATTTCAAATGCTTCAACGCAGAGAGGAAAGATGGCATGAGTATGTACTGAGTGTGTCTGTCTGTTATAGATGCACAAATGGGTTTATTGTGTCCTATAAAAGGAAAAGGCTACAGCTGTGTGCCACAATTGGAATGGCTACAAATCGTTTTGTATGTGGCTTAAGGCACAAATGAGTGAATGTAACAGTCGGCTACATTCAAAGTACGTCAGTATTAGCTTCAGGCTGCGCTCTGTTTTGCATGCGTCCGAGATACTTTTCACTACTCTCCTACAAACAGAGCTTTGACACCACAGTGATGCCATCCTCATCTGAACTATATTAGCCTGAGGATTTCTCTAAAAAAAAGTTGAAACACAAAACAGTTTCTGACTGGAATCTTTTTCTAGACTTCAGAATTCTCATCTGTCCAGACAGAGGTGAAACGAGACTGAAGTGAGGTTAATCAGTCATCATGGAACCACTCTTTTTCTCTACCTCTTGAACTTGCTACAACACTTTCCTCTATTAAAACCAGTCTAAAAACAAAATATTCACAAGCTTTTAATTGCTTTGTAGTTAAAGAGTAGCCCCTCTATTTTATTGTATGTATTGCTCAGTCAGTAGTTTTGTCACTTTCCTTTTACATTCCCTTTTATAATTTTGTTGGTCCCTTTTTCTACTTTAATATTTCATGTAATTTTCTACTTTATTTTCACATATTTATTGTTTACATATTTTTATTTTAAATATACTCTTATTTCATATATTTTTTCATCTAGTGTTTAGTCATTTCATGTATTTGTTGCGTATTTTAACTTTTTTTCTTCATGCACATTGAGTCTATTTTCATGAGATGAAATATTCCATTAAAAAAAACTGACCTGACTAAACTGGGTCTATAAAAAGGTCTAAAACCACCTTAAAATACAGTAAATCATCTATAAATAATGAATTGAACTATATTCCTGGCAGTGTCTCTTATTTTATCAAAAACACCATTAATGTAATGTCCACCACTGTCAGATTTGGATGAACATCAACATTATCACTGTATCTGGTTTCTAGGCTGCATCAAAAATGACTCTCCACTGGAACCACTGTACCTTTCTCTCTCCAGTCGTTCAGTTACCTGCTGTTTCTTGTCATTCAATATACTATATGATATAAAATAGTTCACTTCCTGCAGGCCTCCTCAGCCAAGCTGTTTGCAGTCATCCCTTTAAACCGGCTCGTTTCCCAGGAAAGACAGCGGACGGGAAATGGGCCAAGTGCCTCAGAATTTTTTAATAAAAGAAAAATGTTTAGCCTAGTTGAGGATTCAGATTTGAGATGGGTCAGTGAGTGTAACCACTGCCTGTCAATGATCCTTTTTGTTTTTACAACCCTATCGGAGTACATTCATTTTTAATGAGTTTTTTTGTTTCTAGATTAACGGAGGGTAGTAAAGAGGAAATAAGTGGAAGGATCAGTTTTAGTTTTTTTTCAGTGAGTCTACTTTGAGCAGCTGCGGGAGGCGTCAGCACCGAGTCCTGGATCTTTGCCTGCCTCTCTTTTTGGCAGTAGTTGTGTAAAGACCCAATTGCGGTGATTACCTGTCCCTCGTCTCAAACCCAAACCCTGCTGGGAAAACAAGCTCTAACGATAATAGGAATGCGTGAAACCGATGCCAAATGGCCTTTTTATGAGGTAATGAAAAATGCACAGTGAGAAGTTTTAATGGTTGCAGCCTAATGCTGACAATAAGAGAAGTGTGCCGGCCCTGTGCTCATCCAACAATCATTATTTTCTCGAGTTCAACGCCATGTGGGGTTGTAATGATATAACTGTGGAGTGCGGCTGCTCAAACAGCCTATAAAAAAGACATTAGCTGTTGTGGCCTCAGCTCAGCGGGCACAGACTCCACGAGACGCAAAGCAACAAGAAGCTGCCATCTATTATGTCTCAGAGGGCATCATGGGATGTAGGTTCCAGACTTTGAGAATGTGTGCGGTGAAGTAGGCCAAGTGTCTGAGCCAATATTGAGCCCCTGTTGCACCCCCCTAGGGACTGCAGAGGGCCAATGTGGGAAATATAAGTGGCATCGTTCTTTCCCATAGTAGACTTAGTGACTGTGTTGTTGTCAAGCTGCAATTCCTGGACACACACGCCCCCACGATGGCTCGACCGTGATGTGGGTCAAAGGTTGGAAATGGAGTCTCAGCTGTGAACTCTGGACTGTCGATACTGGGGGTAGGAGCAGCTGACAGCCAGTTCCCGTAGTGTAGTGGTTATCACGTTCGCCTAACACGCGAAAGGTCCTCAGTTCGAAACTGGGCGGGAACAATGTTTATATTTTATTTATCTCTAACATGATTGGATCCATTGTTGCAGAAAACTTATCGTCTAATGTGTTGTGTCTTTCAGCTGGATCCTCAGACGGTGCAGTCCAAGAACTGGCACATGGACGTCATAGAGATGAACGGGGTAAGAGGAGACTAGTGATTTCAGTTTAGATTATAACATACACACACTAAGTATTGTAATCATATTTGTTTGGAATAGGGGCAGTCTCCTGTTGCCTTACATTCCTCCTGGAAGTCAAAGTGCGATTTGATTGAATGTTGAGACCTTGAAAGAATAAGTGCAGATATTTTTGAAAAGAAGAACATAGTTTATAATATAAACTAAAAATAAGGGGAGGGGGGGTGGATTGGCTTCTCAGAGAAATGCAGTTTACTTTAGCTCTGTTGTTTGTTCATCATCAGATCAAAGTGGAATTCTCCATGAAGTTTACAAGTCGGGACCTCAGCTTGAAGAGAACGCCCTCCAAAAAACAGAGTGGGGTGTTTGGAGTCAAAATCAACGTGGTGACAAAGTAAGTATGTTCCTGTTATTGAAATCAGGATTGGCTAAATGTAATCTAACTTTACAACCCTGTATATGAGCTGCACACTTGATGGACATCCTCCGTCTTTCACCCACATCAGACATGTTCACACGGGTGTAACTGCTGCTGTTTCCGTCCACAGGCGTGAACGCTCCAAGGTGCCTTACATAGTCCGTCAGTGCATTGAGGAAGTGGAGAAGAGGGGGATCGACGAAGTGGGAATCTACAGGATCTCAGGGGTGGCCACTGATATCCAGGCCCTCAAAGCAGCTTTTGACACCAGTAAGACTCCACTCACTGGTTTCTGTGTGACACTGTCCTTCATCTTACTTATTTTGATGGTAAAACTAGAATTTGCTTTGTTAAAAACAAATTGTAAAGACAACATGTACTTCAGTACTTAGAAGTATTTCGTGTGAACCTAAAAATGAGTTTTGTGGTAAACTGGTAAACTTAAACCTAAAGACAAAACCAACTTATATTATGGAGACATGGGAACATACAGTATCTGTGCTTTAACCACAGACTGTAGGGCTTTAACCCGACTTACTTTTAATAGAAAAAAGCTACAGTACTTGTGCTTCCCTGTAGATGTGAGCATCTTTAAATATGTTTTCTCCCAACTGGCCAACATGAGTCCACTCTTCTGACCAATGACTGGTTTCCATTGTGCTGTGCCAATAGATTATGTTGAGTAAACCTGAAAACATACATGAAAGATTATACATAATAATATAACTGACGTTAAAAACATGTATATTTTATTTGTCCCATCAGTGTTACATTAAATAATTAATCTTGTCAAATGATCTGATATCAAGTCAGGCATTTAGCATATACTTACTTTGTCCATTGTACTTTCTCGGATGTAGTTTGTGCATAAAGATTGTACTTGCGGACATTTAAGATGAATATAGTTGAAGAGACGTTGCTGCAGCCCAGCGTTGCAGTAAACAAGGTGTTGACTTTAACATTCTGAAGAGAAATGTGGGAACTGTCAGCGAGTCCTGCTGAGGAGCAGCAGCTGTCAAGTCTTCAAGTTTCATGATGCGTAAGACTCGCTCAGGCTTTTTTCACAGCTGCTGTCACTTCGCCAAGGTCCAACCGAGCAGAGGCTGTTAACACCTTTCCTTTTTGGGGGTAATGTTCAGCACATCTGCATCTGTCTCCAACTGAGTTATGAGTGATTCCATCATTCCTGGAGACAAAGAGAGCAGCTGTGTTATTGTGGGTCTGTAATAATACATTGCGTTCAGTTTCTAATTCCTCTGTGTTTGTGTCCGACCTGTAGATACCAAAGATATCCTGGTGATGCTGAGCGACATGGACATTAACGCCATCGCTGGGACGTTGAAGCTGTACTTCAGGGAGCTGCCGGAGCCTCTGCTCACCGACCGCCTCTACCCCGCCTTCATGGAGGGCATAGGTGAGACCTTCAGTTTAGGATTGTTTGTCAGCAGCAGGGGACAGTTTTTAGTTATCTTTACCCAGCTGGAAGGGATAAGGATTAAAGTAAAAAAGCTGTCTCACCATAATTGGATGTGACGTCTTTTTCCTCTCCCTCACAGCGCTCTCTGACCCAGCAGCAAAGGAGAACTGCATGATGCACCTCCTCCGCTCACTGCCAGACCCCAACCTCATGACCTTCCTTACTCTGCTGGAGCACCTCAAACGGTACACACAAAAATACAGAAACACCCACTGGTCACAGTTTTGCCACCTGACAAAAAGGTTTAACTAGAATGTCACCTCACAGGAGGTGACATTCTCCTTTTCAGTAGAGAACTTTGTCTTTCTGTTTTGTTTTCCTTCAGTGAGTCATGTAGACGTAATAAACGCACCGACAACTGAGAAGCTCTCTGACCTCGCTGTCATGAAAATTAGTTTGTTCACCCAGAAAAAGGGAAACAATCCTCTTATGAAACCACATTTAAATTTACTAGATCCAGATTATTTTTCAGTCGTAATCAAACTAAATATTCACACACTTCTTTCATCCCTCCTCCTCCATCCAACTCTTTCCTGATAAAATCATTTAACCCACTCAAGTTGTTGCACCTCATCAACATATCACTGTTTTACCAAATATGTACTTTTGTATTCAACACACAAATCATAGAGGGAAACCTTCCAGACCTTTTAATGTCTCATTTCCAAAGTGATATTCAAGCCAGATTCACTCTGACTCAAATAGACTCAAATCAAATCATCTTATCATTATCCAATGGATCCTGAAATTAATTCATTTAAAATGCCATATTCCTTCAAGTCCTACGGAGCATTAATCATTGTTTTATATTTCTTTGCTTTTTTTAATAGTTTCAGGTTTTTTGACCATTTTCCTCTTTTCATACATTCATGTAATATCATTTGTTTGATTCTAACACAACTTTGCAGGAAAAGTCAGCTTCACTCTGTCACTCACAGATTCCCAGTACAACCCCAGTGTTCTGTTTATCTGCTGTTTATCGACTCCAAACCTGACTGTACCGTCCTGAGCATTAACCCGTGTCCGCCCTCACTTGATGTCCTGTCTGCGTTTGCTCCTGCAGGGTGGCTGAGAAGGAGCCCATCAACAAGATGTCCCTCCACAACCTGGCCACCGTGTTCGGCCCCACTCTGCTCAGGCCCTCAGAGTCCGAACACACAAAGGGACAGCACATCACCTCCGCCTCTGACATCTGGTCACACGACGTCATGGCACAGGTACCTAAACACACACCCACTTCAGACTGGGTATTAACGTCCATCCTCAGTGATCCTAACAAACGGTCGGTGCTAAGCACAGGTTTGGATGCATTCAAAAGTGTCCTGAGATCTGATCAAACCACATTCAGACGTGGGCACATTCTTTTCACTGACTGAAGTGAATCCATCCTGGGCCACATATGAAGGATCAACTACTCAGTACAGTTTCATGATGAATAATATTTATTTTTACACTTCTCTTCACAGACACAGAATATGTTTTTTATTTCTAACCTCTGAATGTGAATCTACACATTGAAAAACTCTTTAGTTTCACTATGAGTCTCCATGATACTGAGTAGGAATATTCACTGTAGATGGTAGACTGGTGCGTATCTATCCCTACTGCGCCATGTGTTTTCCAGATATATTTTTACTCCCACGTTGCTAAGTGACCCCTGTCACTGTGCTCTGTTCTCCCAGCTGTATTTAGGCTGAGGGCCATCCATTCATGTCTACTGAGAGATGAGCTTCCTGTGCACAAATCTTTTCTTGGCTTAATAAACAATATCCAGGGTAAATCATCATAAATGGGGCGCCGAGCACATGTAGGAGGCCCCGTCAACCCATTATAGGGAATCTGAGTGTTTGTAACGCAGCTTATTTCAATTGTAAATATTTATTGTGTAAGTATACAGAATGTCAAAGACCAAAGAAAGATGCTTCCGCTCACGGATCCTGCATATAATCTCAGAGTGATGTATTTACCCTCCATCTAAAAAAAACAATCTCGCAATTACATTAAGCTCCACTGACTGACAGAAGACACTTCCTGAGAAGTAAAATCCTTTTTGTAAATTCAATTATTCACTAGACTGATTTTCCAGGTAAGCTGTGCGCAGAATTAAGCAAACAGCAAATGAAATTAAACTTTCCAGACCTATGTCAGTCTGATGACTGATTAATGGGGAGATTAAGGGACTAAAGTGGAGCGCTGCAGGGGAGCAACATTAGACTGATTCATACATTTTCATAAAGAGGATTGTCTAGACATACAACATTATGAAAATGTTGAAAAGTGATTCTTCTGTCTGGAGTTCACAGACTGCCAGAACTAGATTAGTGGCACTTACGTGAGGGGCATAAGTATTTTTCATGGGAGCTGTGGCTAAAACAGCAAGAACATGAACCACATGAACAAAGTGAACGCACAGTTACTGTCAGACAAGAGAGCAAAGTAAAAACGCAACATATATGCTGAATTATAAAATATATAATAATAAACTTTATTTCTCCGGTGCCTTTGAAAATTTACATGGTGCTTCACACAATAAAAATGCAAAGATAGCAAATCGTAGAAAATCCAGATCATACTCAGTAATGCATCAAAACAAAAATACACCATTGAAAGAAGTACCCGAATAAGTAGAAGTACAAATGTAGGACAGTTGATGTATTAGATCAGCAGCTGATACTGTAGCAGTCTGATTATGTAAATAGAGCTAAGCGGAAACCTGACGGGTGGTGATGCAGTTTCCTTAATTTAATTTAAATTCCTGTTTCCTTGTTTCCTCTCCTCTCAGGTCCAGGTGTTGCTCTACTACCTGCAGCATCCTCCCATCTCCTTTGCCGAACTGAAGCGCAACACGCTTTACTTCTCCACTGACGTTTAAAATCACCCACTCACCTTCCTCAGGGTGCCACCTGCAGGTGAAAGTGGAAGACTCCATCCTTCCACTTGATCCTCTCCTCCCAGAAGGCAGCTCATCTCGACTGTACAGTCCCCTCCCCTCCCCCACGCACACACACACACACACA